TGTCTAGAAAGAGAACAGCCAAGTATCATAGGAAAAAAAGTATTTAATTTTGACTTTCTATAATCTTTCAAATGAGAGTTTGACCTGACATTTAGTTCCATTATAACAGCTTAATCGTACTTTATATTTTATATATAAGAAAAAGATTCTATAAATACCAAAGGAAAATTTAGAAATCCACTTCTTATTGTAACACTCTCATATAAAAACAGCTTTTATGTCTTTGGTTCTTCTCCAAGCTTCATGAATTGGCCTAATGAATCTCACAAGCACAGGAAGCCTTAGAGAAAGAGCATGGAGGTAGCAATTTTTCCATCTAATTTTTGCATAACTTGAAAAATATGCTCAGCATTGTGATAAGCTCAATATGCAGTATGAAAAAAGTTAGAAGATCCTCACTTTCAGGAAAACTGCATGCTTCTAGAATGAATAAAAATTACTATATTATGAAATACTATATCATATTTAAGATATACAATGTGATTTGGTATACATACACATATGTATACATTGTGAAATGATTACCATAATCAAGATAATTACATCCGTCACCTCACATAGTTACCCTTTTTTGTGTATGTGATGAGGACACTTAGAATTTACTCTCTTACCAAATTTAAATTATACTGTACATTAACTACAGTCACCATGTTGTACATTCAATCCCTAGAATTTATTCATCTTATGACTGAAAGTTTGTACCCTTTGAGCAACATTTCCTCATATCCTTCACCCCCTAGCCTCTGGCAACCATCATTCTTCTCTCTGCTTTTATGAGTTTAACTTTTTTAGATTGCACATAAAATTGAGATCATGCAGTATTTGTCTTTCAGTGCCTGGCTTATTTCACTTAGGATAATGTTCTCCAGGTTCATTTATGTTGTCATAAATGAAAGAATTACCTTCTTTATTATAACTGAATAATAGTGTGTGTTATATATATACACACACATACCACATTTTCTTTATTCAATCATTAATGGACACTTAGGTTGATTCCATATCTTGTTTATTGTGAATAGTGCTGTAATGAACATGGGAGTGCAGATATCTCTTCGAGACATTGATTTCATTTCCTTTGGCTATATATCTAAAAATGGGATATATAGCCAGCTGCCATGGTATATCATGGATGCTGGATCTCATGATAGTTTTATTTTTAATTTTTTAAGGAACCTCTATACTATTTTCTATAATGGCTATACCAACTATCATGAAAAATCAGAGGCTCAATCTACGCGGTGGTGTTGATGCTCAATTACATAAACCCTCAGCCTGCCTGTGAGTTCACCTGTAGCTGCAGGGGACAGTTCCCCCATGCAGGCAGCTTCACCCTTAATGGGTTTCTCTCTTCTTTACCAGCTCTCTCTGACCCATGGCAGCTGGCTAAATCTGTGTGCAGGTAAGCTCCAAAAGTGCTGGGATTGATACTACCAGGGGTGACCTTTAACCTCAGTATCCCTACCCCTCACAGGGATGGGGCCCTGTTGCCTTCAGTGGTAACCTGCTCTTTAATGCGTCCTTTACTGGCTTTGCCCTTCCCAGTCTTGTTTTACCCTCTCCCACACATGGGCTTCCTTGGAATGCACCTTCAGTTAGCTACCTCTACTCAAGTCTTTGTCTTGGAGTTTGCTTCGGGGAACACCCAAATAAAACATATCAGGCACAGTATAGTCAAATGCAAAGATGTGTAAAAGCAAAGTTTTTCCTTTACTAGCCCGCAGCCTTTTCCTGCCCTCGAGCTTTGCCACCCCTTCCCAATTCCCTAGTGTTGGAACAAGGCATAAAAATCCATGCAGTCAGCACAGGTCCCCACTTGCCTAACTTCTTGCTGGCTGCCCTTGACCACTTGAGAAACTGGCTGAGAATGAAGTTGCTATGGTAGACAGCCTCCCCACCCCATGTGCCTTCTCCTTTTCATTGCCAATTTAAGTTCGGCCTTTCTAGCGCAGGCAGTGACAAGTCTAAACACTTCTATTCATCCTAGATCTTGGCAGGTGCCCAGCAATCAGCTTTCTCTTTTTTCACTGCCTTTTTCTTCAGATTAATTCATTTTCTCTACCAACTATCTGTCATGCATCTGATATGTCTGGGGTGTACTAGGTCCGGGGTGTCCCAGTGCACAAGATGGCATGGTTCATGCCCTCCTATTGCTTAGATCCCAGGGCGTTACTTTGGCAGGCATCATCTCTGGTATGGGAATGCCATGAAAGGTATAGCATGCAGTGGAGGCACTCAGGAGACCATGGCACTAAGCCAGACTTGGGGAGGTCAAAGAAAGCTTCTTAGCAGAGAAATTAACCTCTGTGGAAGTGAAAGGCAAGGGATACGGAAGAGCCAAACTGAGTATTGCTCCACAGAAGAGTAGCATCTGGGAGTGATTCTGCTCAAGAGTTTAGGAAAGACCAGTCTATAAAGCGCCTTGTAAACCTTGTTAGAGCTTTAACTTAAAAAAAAAAAAAAGTCTCTTAAAGGAATTTAAGCTGGAGGAGACATGACCAGATTTGCATTTAAACATTAGCTCTGACTGCAATGAATGGATTTGGGAGGGACCAACTTGAGAGTTAGGCTAGTTAATCCAGATGAGGTGACCGTGAACAAGGTGAACTAGCAAGTAGTATTGGGAGGGAAAATAAGTGAAAGCAACTGGGAGACATTTAGGTAGTGGAAGTGATAGACTTGAGGGCTGATAAGATGGAGAGAGTGAGAGAAAGATGGGAATCAAGAAGGATAATTATTTTCCAGTTTGGCAGTTGGTGGATGGTGGGGCTGTTTCCTAATATGGGGAACAGCAGCAGGAGCTGGGGCCTGGCAGGGAGAGCTGTGAGGCTACCATCCTGGACAGTCTGTGCTGTGGAGTCTGAGGTCTGAGTCTGGGAAAAGCTAGTGCTGATATCTGATCCTCAGGTATGTGTTTGGAGTTCAGGAGCCAGAGCTGTGCTATAGGTGAGCATGTAGATGGCAGTGACACCATGAGGTTACCTGGATGTTGGGTAGAATGAGATGGGAGCATAAGCCAGAACCTAAAGAAATGAAACAGAGACAGGGGAGCCCATGATGGTTACAAAAGGTGACCAGTGATCTAGAAGGCAAGGAAGCTTCAGAGATGTCTGGTGAGATAAAGACTGAATGTGCCCTTTTGAAAGTGTCTGACAAAATAATTATCTTTTTCACAGACGTCTTTGCTCTCTTTAGCTTCCACAATACGATGTGATACATGAGCTTTTTAGTTGCCTGCCACCCTCCGTAGCAGGGGTGAAGAGAACCCTTCATGTCTCCTCATCTCATGTCCACATTCCATGTGATTTTTGCAGAATGCTGCACTATGTAAACTGCTACAGCAAAAGATGCAATTATTGCATTGACTTTTCTAAAAATCCCTCCAAGTAAATTTTATTGCCTCTTTGCAGATGAACATATTGCCTTTGAGAAAATGCAATGGAAAAGAAACTTGCTATAGAAACCAGGAGAAAGATCTCTTTTGTCTGAGACTTAAGTTTTCATTTCATTAGCTCTCTCCTCCACCTTGTTTATTCATTTCACAAACATTATTGACATCTCTTATGTGCCAGGCACTGTTCCAGGCTCTTGGGATACACTTTACAAAATACAGTAAAGTCCCTGCCCCATGGAGCTTACATTCTAGTAGGGGGAGACAGACAAACATATAAATACATAATATCATAGGGTTCCAACTAGCTTAGAGATATCCTTTCTGAAATCTGCCTACCACATATGCCCATTTTTGGACAATGATGAAGAGAGGCCAACAACAGACTGCAGCAATTTTGCTAGTCCCAGTTCTACTATCTATACTGAGTGGATTTAAGTGAGTCCTTCATCTAATCTGAGCCTCCGTTTTCTTATCTATAAAATAGGGAGGGGTTGGATTAAATGACTTATTAAGGGAAAGGGTCCTTTCGGGCTTTTGTTTTTCACAGTTCTATCAGAACATCTTGCACAAAAGCTAGAGCCAGTTTGTTAACTGTTTTAAGGTTTAAAAAATATTTTAAAATAAAATATAAGAAATCCTTAGATACTCCACACAGACTCAACACCCCACATGCCAATCTACACTTCTTTTATAAATAGCAAATGTCTTATTTACAATTGCTACAGAATGAAGTCATTTTGCCATCTTTAGCCATATAAGAAGTTATTTACTCATAAAAATATTCATTTCCATTGCTGGTCTCCAACTCCCAACCTCATTTGTGAAATGTTCCCTAGCTGTGAAATCCTCTCCTGCATGTGACACCATTTCTCTCATTTACTAACCTATGTCACTGATTCCGTGCTCTTGTTTAACCTTTCGGATTGGAATATTACCTCCATGAAAGCAGGAAAGGAGTGCTTGCTTCTTTGGAGAACAACCCAATGAGAGTCTGTCTCGCCAATCCGTATACATGTGTGACTATTGCACCTGCACCATGTTTTACGGGCACAGACCTTTTGGAACCCACATTAGCTCCTGAGGCTGTGCGAATACTTCTGCTTAGTAGCATTAGAACTTTGGTCTACTAAAGGATATGCTAACATCTGAAGGGGAAAAACATGTTTTCGGAACAATTCACAGACTAGGACAATGTGAATTAGTAAGTATCCTAACTTCTTCAGATGCTTTTGGTGGAATGTTAATGTGTATTTAACAATGCAGGCAGAGTAGCACATTTTACAATCAATTAATTTTTCTTAAAGAAGATAACGTAGCAGGAGAGCTGAATGTCAAACAAGGTTAGACTCATACTTATTAACTTGGTAGGAGTTGTGAAGCTTCTGATTCTCTTGAAAGACAACTTATATTCACTGGTTTGATTTTGAAATGTAGACACTGAAATTTCAATCAATCCAGGAGCTAAGGATGACAGGAAATTTTACAGGACTGGAAGGAGTCTTCTTTTCTTATCTGGATCAGATCCCCGCTGACACCTTGGAGGCTTCTGAGGTTGCATTCTCTGAGTGTTATCTGGTTGCTGTGTAATCAAATATCCTGTGCATGCTTTAAAATTTGATCAGGCGGGTCTAATCACAAGGACACATCTTGTCAGTGCCTTTGGGAGCAAAGTGAAATAAATCTCTGCCTCAATATTGGAATTTAATTCCTTCCTGTTGCTCTGTGGTGTCAAGATACAGTGTCAACATTATCAGAAGTGCCTAATACAGGCTGCTGTGTAGACTGAAGTCTGTCCTATCAGTACAGTGACTGAAAAGGAAAAATGACTAAGTCCTTGGTTGGGTGAACACTACTGTAGGATCACATGGGCAGGGGCATTCCGTGTAACCTTGAAGAATCACAATAGCTTCTAGTAATAAACAGTATCTCAAACAATGCCTGTATGGACTACAAGATGAGGGCAGGTCCAGCAGACATTGGCTGCATAAATGAAGATCAGAGAAGAATAAGGAGCTTCAGGCAACTTTTGGCAACCTGGGTCACAGTTACAGGTAAATTATGGTCACAAAGGAAATGGATTTTGGCATACGTCATGGAATTTGAGTATGTGTTCTAAGTTGCTGAGTACATGCTACCAATAAGACTGCAGCCCTTCTTTCATGAGGTTAGGCAGAAGGATTTATAAAGCCTTGCTGATGTTCAGTGTTCATAGTATGACTGCAGCCCTTCCCAGTCATTCCAAAGGGCCCATGGGTTGCATATGGGAGTGCATCAGGCCTGGCTTGGGCTGTGACGTCCCCAGGAAGTCACTGTGTGCAGTATGGTCTTCAGGGTGGAAGTCTTTGAGCTGCAAATGAGTATAACTCTTAGGTCCAAACCTCCATGGGCACTATGGCTTCTTTGGTTCCGACAGAAGGCAGTAGGCTTTCTTCAGACAAGAAATAGAAGGGGAATTGTACCAAGAACCCACGGATCTTTCTTAGTTCCTCTTCAGCTCTAATGGGATCTTCCTTAGCTAATATGGGCTTGCTTATAAAGTCTCTCAGCTGAATTAAGTTGTGTACTTCATCATTTGGAAGGCACCGGAACACCTGATTAGAACATAAATAGAAGATCAAGTGATAATTTAAAAGAAACTTCCAATGTAATGTAAAACAATGTAAAACAATTATTCCAACAGATAAGACTTTTGTTTTATGAAGCACATATTGTTAGTTTTATGTTACAGCACAGACCTGATTGAAGAATTGGTTATCTTATATGCTACAAATAGGTAGATCTGCTTCCATTAAAAAAATCATAGCTGGAACCTAATATCTGATCTATATAAGTCATTAACTTCAGGATAAAGTCCAGGTAGTGGTAAAGAATTTCACTGATGTTACCCCACATTAAGGTTATTTTTTTTAGGTAATAATCACCCCCTGAATTTTACTGGAAGTTCTGATCTACAAAGAAAATTGCATATTATATTTTTCATAACTTTTTTTGAAAGCTGTTCATATCTGTACCTTTACTTAGAGGTATCCATTGTTAATATGTAACACAATTTCCTGATTGAAAACGAGTTTTAGACATCATAACACTTGATCCCTGAATACTAAAGCATTTATTTCTTAAGAATAAGGACATGTGCCTATATAATCACAGTACTATTTTCACACTTAAGAAAGTTAATTCCATAATGTCATTTAAGTTATGGTCCATATGCAGATTTATCCTATTATCCTCAAATGTCTTTTATAGATGTTTCCCGCTAACCTGGGGCTCAAACAAGATTGTGCATTGCGTTTTTAAAATTATATATTAAAGACTGACTCTATGCAAATAATCTATTTGACCATAGCCTTGAGTCTTAAGTATGAAATAAGGCCATGTAGATAGTAGTCATGTTTCATTAAGAATGATGAAGTCATGAAAGGGACTCTGGAAATCATGAAGAACAACACACTCTTGCCCAATTTCTCATAGATGGTCAACAAATCTCAGTTTGAATATTTTCCTTGATGGGAAACTGGCTACCTCTTGAGGTAACCTGCTCCACTGTTAGACAACTCTCAACACTTGTACATTCTTTATCATAACCAATGCATAGACTTCACAGGAGATGCATTTGATATGCATCAAATGGAGCTGGTTTTAAAGCATCTTTCTAAAATTAGAGCTATCCAACAAAGGACGTGTCTCATTATTAATACACTTCATCATAAGAATGGATACTGTTTATTCTGTACTATGTGCTACATACATTTAGTAGACTACTCGTTATCCTCATAACCACCCTAGTGATATCCCTTCCAATTTATAAGTGAGGAAAGGGAGACTCAGAAAGTCAAATCACTATACACAGGTTATAACACCAGCAACCGGGTGAGCTGGGTTTAGCTCCAATTCATTTTTTGATCCTATTGTCTTCTCTTCTTTTTGCTACTAGAGATGTACAAAGGCCGGGTGAGTACATGCTGGGGATGTTCATGAGGGATTCCTGCATCAGATGAAAGACCAGCATGACACTAAAGTCTCTCCTACACCAAAGTCCATGATGCTCTTTGACTTTGTTTTTCAGCATCTACAAACAGGTATTTTACTACAACCTGGAAATGTATTGATTTTTTATGTTCATTAAGAATACTCTATAGTAATAATATGAAGAAACAATAATATTTTCTTATTTTTTTGTGTGTGATGAGATTCAATATGAAAAGGGAGGAAATATATGAGCCTCACCTTATCATAAATTGTAGCATTTCGAGCTGCTGTTGAAACCCACACCTCCTTGAAGAATCTGTCACTCACTGGATCCTGAATCTCCTCACTTGGGTCATCAAGATAGCCAAGGACAACCCTGAAACACAAGTGTCCCTCAGACTGAGTAACCAAGATAAAGCAGTTTGTTGCAGGCTACACACACACACACACACACACACACACACACACACACACATTCTAAGTTGCAAAACAAAACAACTGAAGTTGCTTTGATCCTTGAATGTTTTACCTGTTGGACAGACAGAAAGACCTTAATTTTGTCCTAAGAACATCCTGTAGTTTGGCCTAAGGTGGTCAGAACCTTGGAGATAGGACTAGCCCTCAAAACATAAGCCCTTTCCAAGGACTATGTCCTTAAATCCTTAACAACTCTGAAAAAGCAACGATTATTGTCTTCATTTTATGGATAAGGGAACTAAGACAAAGAGCGATTAAATAATACATTCAAGGTCATACAGCTGCTAAGTGGTAGATCTGGGACTCCAACCAGGACCAAATGACTCCCAATCCTGTGCTCCTAATCAGGACCTGGTCTTCTTTTCTTCCTTCCTTCTCTCATTCTCTGCTCCCCCCCCCCCATTTCCCTATCCCTTCCTTCCCCTTTTCTTCCCTTGGGCCAAGCACTATGCTGAACTCCAGGGTACAGAAATGAATAAGACAGACATGGAGCCTCTCTGCCTAGAGTTAAATTTGATGGGTGGGACCAAAAATGAATAAGTGATCACCCACAAATGGAATTAATTACAGTAGTGATAAATAATTCACATGCTTTAAGATCATGAGATGAGAGTGGTCAGGGAGAATTCTCCTTCACCATCTATTTACCTAACCCCACCTGCTATCTTTCAGGATTCAGTACAAGATCAGCTCTGTAGTACTTTTCATGGATCCATCTTCTCATCTATCCCAGTTAATCTTAGGAGATCTGAACGTTCTTCCTTTGTTCCCTACTATACTTTATGTATGCTTTGTTTTTATCAAAGCACTGACAATATTTTACACACTTTTTGTTTTTAATAGGCCCATCTCTCACTTCTAGAATGCAAATTCTTCAAGAGACCATGACATGGCTTCCCTCATATCCGCATACCCTCATGCCTGCCATAGAATAAGCCACATACTAGCTGTTGTCTGATGTTACACATACTAGATGTTACACAGATCATGTGTAAACAGGGGATTAGACAGAACAAAACATTCTCAAGCAAAGCAAGACACGTTTTAGAAGTGATATTTGAAAATTATAATAACCCTGTACTTATAGAAGCCGTTAGATTTAAAAAGCACTTCCTGTGAGGTAGGCAAGACAGATGATTCCCCTTGTATAGATGAGAAACTAAGGTTTGGAGACACACCAGTAATTGAGCTTGAACTCAGAGTCCAGAGCTTTTTTCTCACATACCTGGTGGGTTCAAAGAATACTGAAAAGGCCTGTGCATACCGGAAAGAGCAGTGGGAAAACAGGCCTTGCAAGGGCTTTGGTTTTTACACTGAGTGAAATGGAGACTCACTGTGGACATCAGGGCAGAGGAACAACAAGATTTAGCTTATGAACTAAAATAACGGCTGCTATATTGAGAATAGACTGGGTGGGGAGGAGGGTTGAAACAGTGGGGCCAGTTAGCAGTTACTGCAGCCACCTGTGTGAGACACGATGGTGGCTCAGGCCTGAGTGGCAGTGGATATACAGGCAGTGCCAACAAGTTTTACTGACAGAGTGAATGTAGGGAGTGACAAAAAGTGAGGCATCCAAGATGACTGAAAGGTTTCTGTTGTGAGCAACTGGAAGAAGGTACAGCTGCAGTTGCCATTAGCTGAGATGGGGAATTCTGTGGGGAGAGCTGGGTTGTGGGAGAAGACCAGAAATTAATTCTGAGCCTGTTGAGAGTTCTATTAAAGATCCAAGTGATGCTGAGAATGCAGTTGGATAAATGGATCTGGAGTTGGGAGAGAAGGCTCGGTTAGAGATATAAATTTGAGAATTGTCCTCATCCATATGCTCATAAAGCCATATGTCTTTTACTGACTTCATCAAGGAGTGAGTATAGACGGGAAAGAGGATCAGGTGTACCCCAGTTGCAGGGGAGAGGAGGAGCAACCAGCTGCAGGGAGGTGTGGTATCTTGAATCCTACAAGGAGGCATGTCAAAGAGAACTGTATCAAATTCAGATTAGCATCGGCCATTGGATTTAACAACTGGACAGCATCACATCATGGCCCTCTTTGTATTTAAATAAACATAAGCAAATTTACATCATCATTCTTAATGGCTGCAGAGCTTCCTATCACATAAAGTTAATTTAACCAACCATTTTACTATGGACTTTTGGGGTGGTTTCCAATTTTTCATTATTAGGAGCAATGCTACCATGAACAGAATTTATTTATCATATACAATATGTTGTGAATTTCTATGATTATTAAGAGAAATTCTAGAATGAAAATTTTTGTATTGAAGAATATAAAAAATTACTCCAAGAAAGGCTATACCAACACAACAGTATTAACCATGCTTGCTCTTTCAGTCATCTCCAACATTATCAACTCTTTAAAAAGCTCAATTTGATAGAGATAAGAGGGCAACTCATTTTAGTTTTAATCTGCACTTTTTCCACTACATAAAAACGTTTTTTAAAAATGGGTCTGGTACCATGGGCTAACTAAGATTCTTGCATTTTTTAACCTCAAAATTCTATTTCTACTTCAAATAATACCTCCTTTAGACTATATGGGAGTAACTTTTAAAGAAAGATTTAAGGGATGATGATCTCACACAGATCCTGGCTGCTAATTGAGACCGAAAGCAAAATGTTATTGCTACAAATCTGAAAGATAGTGCAAGTGATGAAAATAAGTCAATTATAATAATACCTTTGATTTGGACCAGGTCTAAGGTGATGAAAATTAGGCAAAAAGGGTCTTTTTTGTGACTTGTCTTTTAAATTAGAGCAGGAGGAGAGTCAATGTGTCCACTAAGATATCAGTTAAAGGGCTTGTTTGCAGAAAAAGTATTTAAATAAGTCTATAATATGCAATACTTAACAAAAAAATATTTTCCCTGTCAGTATTTTAATTATAAGAAATTTATATTAAATTGCACAGTAAATAGAATATTTACTTTGGGTACTTTGGGTATTCTTTTAAGGATACTTAAAGTACTTTGGGTATTCTTTTAAGGATTAAAGTGTGAGAGAAAACTAGTTTAATTTTATTTTGATGTGTATAATGGCAATTATTTATATTTGTTTATTCATCACAAAAAGTGGGATACTAGGAAAATCACAAAAAATTATTTCTGTCTTTCCATTCCTCATATCTATCACTTTGAATGACTCTGAGCTCTACTTGTATAGATAATGGTTTCTGTTAAATGATGGTTATATCTGTAAAGTTTGGATAATTTTCTAGGACTTGAACTCATCAGCTCATAGCTGTGACATTCAGTGCAGTACTCTGATGGTTGATTCTGTCTCAATTTAGAATTGATTTCACATTGAGATGTGTCTCTCTATTTCTATTCAAAAATAGCCCAGATGGAAAATGGATTGAAGCTGCATTTTTTTCAACTGAGAAAGTGGCTGTGCTCTAAGCCGTAACATTTATCTCTGGGAACATTTCATAATAAAAAGAGGCTACAATTGACACAAAGTTTTTATGTGCTTTTTAATACATTTTCTGTGTTTGCCACTGGGGCACAGTGAAAATAGTTGTTTAAGAATAACTGCCTATTTAAGACAGTTTGAAAATTGCCAGGAAAAATAAAGTATTTAGGAATAAAATTTGCATGTAGTGTATAGGATCAACATAAAAGAAAAAAAATAAAAAAAGGAATGATTTACTGAAAAACAACCCTCCTCCCCCTCAATAATGAAGACCAAAGCTTTTTTGAAGAACAATAAAATAATTGAATAAATTGAAGTCCACACCTTTGTCTTCAACAGGATGACTCAATATTATAAAGATGTAAATTATTTTTATATTAATCTATAAATCCGCTATAATCCCAATAAAAAATATAATAAGGATTTGAGAGAACTTGGGTAAGTAATTAAAAGTTCATGTGAAGGAATTAATATTTATGAATAGCCAAGATTATTATGAAAAAGAATACTAATGGGGAAGCAGTATGGCAAAAAGAGTATTAAAATGCACAGCCACAGTAATTAAAATAGTATCACACTGGTGTGCAAGTACTCAGACTATCAATATAACAGAATAGAGAGACTAGAGATGGGTCAGAACATGTGGCAATTCAGTGTATCATGAAGAGGTTCTGCAGACTGGAGCTGCCAAGAACCCTACTGCACATCATACAGATCTGGATCAGCCGGTTAGTTGGGGGAACAAGTTACAGCCCCGGCTTCATTTCTTACATTAAAATAAACTACAGATGTTAAATGCAACAAGTAAAATCAAACAAGTACTAGAAGACAATATAAGTAAATGTTTGATCTTGTACTGGGGAAACTATTCTAAATATGCAAGAAAAGAGGAGAAAAACAAAGAATAAACAGATTTGATTAATAAGAATTGAAATATTTCCCCCAAATACTCTAAATATGATTAAAAGGCAAATGACAAAACAAATTTGCAACACATGTGACAAAGGAATGAGCATCCTACATATTGAAAGCACTTATAAATCATTAAAAGAAAGTTAAACATTCCAACATACTGGGTAAAGGGGGTGGGAGACCCCGCAGCCTTCGGATTTCAAAATTGTTCTTTTTTAAACACCAAAGGAAGCAAGAAAAGCTTCATCTTTCTCTCCTGCATCCCTTTTAATGGAAGGATTTGTTCTGTAAAATTTGGACTCAGTAAAAAGGCTACACTTACGGACCTAGAAGTCCACATGTGCCCTTTAGGCCATAGGTTCCCCACCCCATTTACAAATGAACAACTTACACGTGGCTAATAATAAACACATTCTTTTAAAAAAAACACCTCTAAAAATGCATATTAAAATAATGAAATTCTACTTGAAATCCAACAAATGGGCAAAGATTAAATAAAATAGTAGAACTCAGTAAAGATAGAAGGAATAAACCCTCTAAAACATTGCTAGTGATGTAATAAGAAGTTAGAGCACAGGCAGCTTCCGTAGTCTAAGGAAACAATTAAGAAGGTGAACAAGACAGTATTTACAAACATACCCATTTTTTTATATCAGCAAAAAAGTCTGCAAACAATGAGGTATTAGCTAATGGAATTATGGCATATACACACAATGAAATATGATGTTGCCATTAACACATGGAAGAATACTTAATGACATGGAAAATATGTGTAACATTATTTAAATAATAAAAAACACTATAGACCTGTGAGATTCTAATTTTTTTTAAATACAGTGTATTTATGTATATATGTATAGAGGAAAGTAGAATGATATGTATCAAATGTTTACATTGTTAGCACTGGGTGGTAGTATTATAGATGAATATAATCTTCTTAGTTTTCTGTATTTGCCAAATTTCTACAATAAAAATGTGTTAGAATCAAGAGCCTTCTACCTCTATAATCATTATTCATTTAAAAAGTTATATAGAAGCCCACCGTTTTAAACAGAATACTTAAGTTCTCAGGAAACTGAAAAGATACATGACACATATTTCCAGCTTACAATAAAAAGGAAATATTTATTTCCATATATATTCTGCAGTAGGCAATCGATGGGCTGATTAGCAGGGTACTAATTTTAAATTCTCCCCTGCTAAATGAAACAAATTAACATTAGATGCTTCTTGAAATGTCAGTGGTTTGAAAATATTCTTACTGGCAAAACAGTTAATAACAAAGGCGGTAAATAAAGCAATAAAAGTTGCTAGAAGGTATTGACAGACAGATTTTGAGGGATGATGGATTTGCTGAGCTCCTTGGGCACAGAGCAGAAGGAATGTCTCTAGAACTGAAGCTTATGTTGGTCTCAGAAGCCAGAGTCTGGACTGGTAGGAATGAGGGAAATGGCCTCCACATTTCTAGAGAATAAAGTGCTCATTATGTGCCTGTCTGCAAGTGAGTCCATTTCCAAAGTGGATCATTAACACATAAAGGATCAAAATAACAGTGCTGCAGTGCCCTTCCCACATAGCATAACGCACTGCCTCCAACTATACCGGGGCCACCTGCTGGGTCTTACTGTAAGGGCCACACGGAATCACATCATGGCGCACATAGTTCTAGAATCATGAAATCGTGGACTTCCTGCAATGGCCTAAGAGTGGGAAAGTGGCCAGCGTGTTCCACAGAGAGTGGGGAGATCAGTGGGTCTGCAGTGAGCAAGGGAAAGAAGGAGAAAAGGTTTTGTTAGGAACAAGGATTTTACTTGTTCCGTGTTTACTTGTGAGCAGAGGAGCGCCATGATCTAGAAGGTTCAAGAAGGATCCCTCTGACTGCTGAGGAGAATAGACAACAGAGGCTGGGGACAATCAGAGTCCCAGCCCTAGAAATAACTAAATAACGCTTTACTGAAGGAAGGACTTATTTAGGGTCACAGAGCCTAAATGAGGCCAGCTTCCTAGCCCAGTGTGCTCTCTGCTTGACCACAGATTTGTTTAAAACTCACATCTTCTTGCCAAAGATCAGGGATCTTCCACATCTGGAGTCATCTTAAACCTGAGAACAGAAGTTCCTACATTTAAATTTGATACCAGTAGTCACTGGCATACTCCTTTAATAATGTTTATTATATTCTTCTATTACTGGAATTATTTTGATTTTTAAGATTGGACTCACTTTTAAAAACTTATATGGACACTAGATGGTTTGACCTGGTCTGGCTCTACATCAACTAATATATTTAAAATGCTAGTGTTTTCTATTGCACCTAAAAATAATAAAAAGCTATCAGAAATGTTCATGTACCACCCAAAGTTATTTCACATACTACTGGTGGTATATGTCACATATTCAGGGGGACACTATTTTAGACAAAGAAGAACCTGGATGGCACGTGTCTAAGGATCAGAGGGCAGGGCTGGGTCCCAGTGCCCGTGGCAGTGGAACTATGCCAAAGAGACACAGCTTTGAAGGGCTCACCTAAAGCACTGTAGTCGAAGAGCTTGGGCAAACCGGCCAGCTTGGTACTCTTCTCCATCCATTACTGAAGGGACCGTCTCTGTGTCCTGCACAATGACAGCCATTTCACTGTCACGCTTTCCCAGCAGGCTTCGATCATTTATGTTGGCAGAACCTATAAGGACAAAACAGTGAAACTAAACAACCTTCTTATTGTGGTAGACACCATTGATTGACCCCTCTACTCAGTTCTTCCTTGCCAACAAAACCCTAATTTTGTTCAGGTTATCTAAGGAAGATGTACTTTAGGGTGGTGGGGCCCTCCCTAACCCAAGGGTGAATCTCCATCAGTCTAAGCCAGCCATGGTAATTTCACTATTTTTCCCAGTGACTCGCTTAAGGATAGGCACTTCATGTGGTTCTAGTGAATGTGACATGAAGGAAAATCTTCGAGTGGCTCCTGAGAAAGTTTCTCCCCTTTGTGTAAAGGGTACACAAGAAATAGATGTTGTCTCTTCCAGTCTTTGGATATTTTGGCTTGAGGGGTTTGATGACATGATGTCCGGAGCTTTTGCAGCCATTTTGCAACCACTAGGGGACAAACAGACAAGCTGAAGATGGCAGAGCAGAAAGAAGGGTCTTCAACCCTTGAACTTTCTGACCTTTTGTTATGTGAAATTATATATTTTCCTTATTGTTTTACACACTTTTAGTTGAATTTTCTACCTTGTGGTGCAAAGGATTCTGATATAATCATCCAGCACTTAAAGAAAAGAGGCATGTTTACCTGTGCAGTAGAGAAGATGGCTTTGCTTTTACAGTTAAGGATCAGATTCCCTGTAGATTTTAACTTATAGTCATATAATTATGAATGCCAACACTCAAGAGTGCCTTCACAATCAATAGAGTGTAATCTCAAATACAGATTGTCGCTTGTGGCTTTGGGCTTTCCACTCTCTTGCCTCACTTGTGTAGCATGACAATAGCCTCTGTACCAACTTCTCTCCATTCTATTTTTAAATCCAAATGAGGAGAGAATGTTGACTTTCACATGTGAAGGGCACATATTTTACTATTAGTTCAACCTGTGCTTTCTGCAATTCTCTGCCGTGGATTCAGAAACCCCGTCACGTTTTCTGTATTAATCAGTGAGGCTTCACGCTTTGAATCCTTCGGGCGTCCTACAAACTACAGAAGAGGCCTGGGTCTTTTCTTCTTGCTCCTCTTGCCCTAGTCACACACTCCGCTGCTTCTGCAGAGGTGGGGCAGAGGGGTCGGGCTGGGCAGGTGTGCTGGTGGCCCTGTGACTCGGGCAGCCAGAGCTGTAGGTGATGGCAGCCCTGCCGTGAGCCCAAGTGGTGAGAGTTTCAGAAAAATCTGCCCTTTCTGGAAGAGACTTTACTTCCATTTGCCCGGATATTATCATATAGCTAACATACAAATCTATGATGACTACGGATGTGAATGGTGCCTCATGGTGGCCCGGGGTGACAGAGAAAGGAAGGCGCACCCTACAGAAACGTGGGAGGGCTATTGGAGTGCTGTATTGAAATGCTTTGTTTTGTTAGCAAATCATCCCTTATAAAATACACTTACATTTTGGTTATGCTATAAAATTTGCAGCTAAATCTTTGGGCTTGACAGTTGGCCTAGTGTTAACCTGGACAATTCACTTAATCTTTCTCAGCTTTAATATGATCTTTCATAAAGTAAGATAATAATATAGACCTTGTAGGGTTGTTCTGGCAAATAAGACCACGTGAAAACACTGATCTATAAACTGCTCTACGAATGTTAATTATTGGCATTATTATCACCTACTTATTAACTCTATAGTATCTGCGCCAGAGAACAGTGCCATGGGAAGCAACAATTTGCTGGAATGCAGCATTTGCATCAAAGAAGTCTCCTTTCCGGCTAAATCACGCCAAATGCGCACTGTGAGAACTGTAAGAATCAAGTCCCCATAGCGCTGCTTTAGGGCGTCACTACCCCCTGGCCCCAGCAGAGGCCGCTGTCAGGCGGAGCTGCTGGGCCGGGTGGACGTGGCTGCTCCGTTCACCGGCAGGAGAACTAGGGAAGTGAGCTCGCCTGGAGGAAGGAAGGCTCCTGCACACACACACACACACACACGCAGGAGCCCCTAACCCCCTCCCACCACGGTGGGCCCCCACACTCCGGAGGGGAGGGATACATTCCTGGCATTCTTGGCAACCTGAGCTGGAATTCTTAGAGAAAGGGTAATCCCCCTTCTTTAGAGGCCAGTCTGTAGTTTCCCAGAGCACTGACTCTCAACCACCCTGGATAAGTGAGTTGGCTACTATTGCATAGGAGTGTGAAGAAAGGGATGAAAAAAAATTTTAGATGAATTGAATAAATGAGACACTGACAATAAGATATTGATGGATATAAATGCTACCTCCATTCTTGTTGTTAAATGTTCCTGTGTTCCGAAAATCAAATTCAGAACAGCAGCTACAGTATTACCCTATCTTTACATAACATATGAGGAAGATGAGAGAGCAAGAGATCTAGAAAGATACACACTGAACTGTTAACAATGGTACGTGCCTTCCAGTGAAGAGAGAGGGGGAAATGAGGGGAACTTTGAGCTTTTGCTTTATGTACATCCTTAGAGTTAGGATATATTGTTTACAACCAATATATGTATTGTATTCACATATTACTTTTTATAGTAACTGCACAGTACAGTTTACAAAAAAAGTGGTCTGATCATTTAAAACTACTGAGTTTTTAGAAAATGATCTATTCTGACTCTGCTGTTAGGAAACTTTTTAAAAATTGTGAAATGTAGCAAAACACAAAAGAGTGTATAAAAACATATATGCACGATTTCGACAATAATGAAATAAACATCACTGAATTTATGACCTAGGCTGAAGACAATGTTACCACATCTCAGAAGGCCTCCAGCACCTCCCCATGCAGACCATTTCCTAACCCAGAGGGAGACTTGGTGGTGAACGCTGTGTTCACCATGCTCTGCATGTTTTCCTAAACAAAAGATAATTTACTTCTAACTTTTTAATTTATGTAAGTAAATAATATAGCATATAATCTTTTGAGAGTTTTTCATTTAGTATTATGTCTTCGGGATTTATCTGTGCATAATTGTAACACATTTATTTTCCTTGAATAAACACACCAGGGATTTATTTATTCATTCTACTATTGATGGATGTTTGGGTTGCTTCCAGAGTTTTGCTGTGGCGCACATTTCTGCTCTACACACTTGAATATTTGTTTCTTGGCATACACATGTGAGAGTTTACCTCGGCTCCGCATGCAGTAGACTGCTGGTTTACTAGGTAAGGCCAGAATGTTCTCCAAAGTGGTTTCCAACTTATACTCCCACCAGCAGTGGAGGGGAGTCTATTGTTCCACAGCCTTGCTAATACCTAGATTGCCCAACTTTTTAATTTTTGCCAGTCTGGTATTTTTAAAAACTCTTATTTGTCTAATTGTTATGTTAACAAGAATTAACATTTTTTTCATATGTTTATGGGCCTTGGGTATGTTTTCCTTGGTAAAGTTTCCATACAATTGCTTTGCCTATTTTTTCTTTGGATATTTGTCTTTTCTTATTGATTTATAGGAGTCCTTTATGTATTCTGAGTATTAAATGTGTTGCAAATATCTGCTTTCAGTTTGTGGTTTATCTTTTTATTCTCTTTATGGTATCTTTTAATGAATAAAGTTCTGAATTTTAATAGTTAGATTTATCTTTCTTTTCCTTTGTGGTTTGTATTCTTTTGATGTGTCTTGTTTAAGAAATTGTGAATGCTTCTGTGGTAGGCAGAATAGTAGCCTCCAAAGATGTCCATGTCCTAATCTCTGAAACCTATGGCCATGGCGTGTGGGCAGCCTCTGGAAGCCGGAAAAGGCAAGGAAATGGACAATCCCTACGGGCCCCCGAAAAGAATGTGTCAGCTCTCCTGACACCCCGATTTTGGCCCAGTGAGAACGCATGTAATCTACAGAAGTGTCAGATAATAAATTTGTATATTTGTAAACCACTAAGTTTGGGGTCATTTGTTACAACAGTAATAGAAAACTAACATACCAACTCTACCCTGTTTTAGTTTATCTATTTTAAAGGAAACTCTCCTGTTGAGTCCACTGGGCTACTCCGCAGTTTCCACTTAACTTGTGTTCCCTGTGCTACCAGAATAGAAGTTCTCAGCTCTGACTACACATTAGCATTACCTAGGAAGCTTTAAAAACTGATAACAAAAACAAAAATCCCCCATTGTCCAGGCCCCAAATGAGACCAATAAGATCAAAACTTCTGGAAGTAGGAACCAGGCATTGGTGTACCACTCTGCCGGTGTATCTACCATTAATTCATCTTTTTGTTTTGATCCAATTAAAAGTAAATTTGCAGACATGAAGAAACTTCCCACTAAATTATAATTAAATATATATTTAAAGCTCCCCAGGAGCCAGAGTTGAAACCCACAGGACTAGAACATTTTAGAATAAACACAATCCTTCTTTACTGGGGCAGCCTCTCAACTATAGACCTTCACGTGCGACACTCAAGCCTGCCCTTTATATACTGACATTCGTGACCTCTACATAGCTTCCCCATCCACACACCCTCCCTGATGGTCTGGGGACCGTCTCCCTCTGTTTGACAATACCCATCCCAGTGTTTCAGGTGTCAGGTGGAGGGAGTAGCTGCCTCTCCTGCAGCCCTTGAGCTCTGGAGGGGGTGGGGGGGGCAGTGGCACTGTTTCTTTCAGGTTTTGCATCTCCCTGTTGGGCTTTGCTGTGGATTAGTGAACATTAAAAACAACTGCTTCAGTTAGTCAACAGGGTAGACTATAGTTTTATTTAAAGTGTAGTTTTCATTTGTCTAGGATAGCAAATAAATGTTAGTTTGGTTAAGTGCTAAAATTGAGATGAGTTAGAAAACTGGATGTGGTCACAGATTTCATGACCAGCCAGATTACGCAGGGCAACAGGTAATTAAAGCTCCGCACAAAAGAGATCTTCAACGTGAGAAAACAAATATTTCCTCATGAGGAAATGCACGAGGATGAACAATTAGTCATCTTTCTCATGTCAATTACTGAATAATTTGGGCACAAGTTTGCCATGCTAGAAAAAATAATCACAGGTTACGTTAACCTCCTTTAACACCGTAGAAATATTCTCAGCCTAACTACTCAAACTCCTCTCTGAACATTTAATTTAATTTAATTTAATTTAATTTAATTTAATTTTTTGAGACAGAGTCTTACTTTGTTGCCCAGGCTAGAGTGAGTGCTCATGGCATCTGCCTAGCTCACCAGCAACTCAAACTCCTGGCTCAGCAGGAGCCCCCTTCCCCTCCCCTCCCCTCCCCTCCCTCCCCTCCCCTCCCCTCCCTCCTCCCCTCCTCCCTCCTTTATTTTTTTCCTTTACCAAGGACAATGTGCCTTAAAGAATAGATTTCTCCCAAGAAAAATATAAAGATTCTTTTGTTCTTTTTAATCTCTGTGAAAACTCTAAAAGTAAGCAGGTTTATTGTTGCTTCCCCAACACAACCACCTTGTTTAAGTTCATAACACAGAGAACAATGTTTAAAATTCTCAGAGAGGGCCGGGCATGGTCCTCCTGCCTCGGCCTCCCAAGTAGCTGGGACTACAGGAATGCACCACCACGCCTGGCTAATTTTTTCTATATTTTTAGTTGGCCAATTAATTTCTATTTTTAGTAGAGACAGGGTCTTGCTTTTGCTCAGGCTGGTTTCTAACTCCTTGACCTTTAGCAATCCACCTGCCTCGGCCTCCCAGAGTGCTAGGATTACAGGCGTGAGAGACCATGCCCGGCCCTCTCTGAGAATTTTAAACATTGTTCTCTGTGTTATGAACTTAAACAAGGGGAGAGAAGGGGAGAGGAGGGGAGGAGGGAGAGGAGGGGGGGAGGAAGGGAAGGGAAGGAAGGAAGGAAGGGAAGGGAAGGAAGGGAAGGGAAGGGAAGGAAGGAAGGGAAGGGAAGGGAAGGGAAGGGAAGGGAAGGACTATAGCCTCTTAATACTAGCAAGTAAGACCTCTTCATACTCCCAGGCCACATCTGCAGTTCCAAGATAGTGGATATGAATAGTGTCTCAAATTGATCAATTATTGCTAGCCAAAATAAACTGTAGCCTTTGAGGGTCCAGAGTTCTTTCTAGAAAATAAGTCCATTAAATAACTGAACAAACCTATTTAACTGTTTGCTCTGTTGCTGAAAACTATTTTGCATTTATACTTTACATAAAGCAGGCTGAAAGTCAAAATGACCTTTCAAAGGAAAATATTTACATCTGTCAATTTTGACTTTGAGTTCTGAAATCTTGTTGAAGAGACCAACTGAATTTTACTTGGCTTTGTTTGTTTATTTTTCCATTTCGGCAAACATCAATATTTTTTCTTTTCTACCATCATTGCCAAATTTAATATAAAAATGTTCTGAGGTTGGCTTTTGAAGAGCAAGGCTGCAGTAGCCTGGGGGAAATAAGAGATACCTTGTACACTGAAGCCCCAAAAAGCTTCAATTCCTGTTTGAGAAAAAAATCAAAGAACAAGATATTTTTCTTAAATGCCTTATTCAAGTATTAAAAGAATGTGTGTGTGTGTGTGTGTGTGTGTGTCTTTCTCTTTCACCATTCTGTCGTCTATACATCTTCTGGCTTCAGAATTCTTTTTCTTTTTTTTTTTAAAGTCATATTCCAGATAAGGCAATCTCATCACTCCTAGATAGATTTTTTTCTTTTCTCAGTGGAGGATAGAGATCATATGTATTGCCAATATATTCAACATGCTCTATAATATTTAGTTTCTTAAAGAATAGGAAAGTATCTTATGATAGCTGAGAAACTACATTTTATTTAAAACAGATGAGCAGAATTCCCAACAGTGGGACACATCCTATCTCTAGGTAACATGCCCCCAACCTGGTTAGCTCATATATCTGGCTGGTTATTAATACTCTGTTTTTCATCTTGGACTTCTAGTGTTCATTTTACCCAATAGTAGAAGGCAAAACAATTCAATGATGAAAATATGAAGTTTTCCATGTGTATAAAAGAATGAAGCTGAGCATCATCTTTCCGGTCAAGTTAATCTAATCTGGATAGAATGTATAACCAGTAACTCTCCCGAATCTGTCAGTGGGGAAAGGCTTTGGAGAAACCTTCTGTGATCCTTGACAATCCTGTGACCTTGTACAGAGCTGCATTCTATCATTAATACACAATTCTCTCAACCACACACGTATCAACAAAGCCGGACTGCTCTACATCCTGATTAACACCCAAAACATAGATGTTAGGAAAAATAACGGTCAGCATAGAGACAGTGTTTTTACCCGCTTCGGTAGGTGCTCACCGGCCGCGAACACCTTGCCCACAGCCGGCACTCACAGTCCGCATGATAGTTTGTGCTTGTGCATTGACGACGGATCCGTTTTGCTCTTGTGTGATGAGAAAAGCTTTAAAGCACTGAAAGCTTGTTTTACTTTACAGGCAGCTTTACTCGTAATGTAAATCAGAATAGTTAACATATACATATATGTTTTTATTATGTTATTTTTAAGTGTTCACAATTTTATTTTGATAAATGAAAAATTAGAAAAGTCATATCACGGCTGTTGGCTACAGTCGACATGAGCGTTCATCTGTGGCTGTTGACTATAGTCAATGCTGGCACCAAAGTGGTTAATATCCTTCTGATTTGACTTTTGCACACCTTCAGGTTTGCGGTAATGTTTAGGTGGTTAGGTGGACATGGTGTAAACACATACAAACGGCCACAAGATACTTGCTTATGACACATTTTCCCTCTCCATCTCTGCCCCCTTCTCAATCCCTGAAACCTAGCCACTTGGATTCAAAATGAAAATACAGGAACAAGAAAGAATTGCTGAGATCAGGCAAATCACTGCACTGCTGGGTTAACTTGCTGCCTCTAGATCCTGTGATTTGCAGAGTCCATTTAATGGCTCTGTCTTCTTCATAGGTAAAAACGGGTTAGAAATGAAGTAAGAGAAAATGATGCTTCAGGAGTGGTTTAGATACTGTGTTATTGTCTCTCTCAGCTGCAAAGGAAGCTTGGGAGGAACTGCAGCAGAGATTTTTGCATGGGGTGAGTCAGCTGGCAAGGAATACAATTATGGACCATATACTGTACTTACCAATAATAACTGTGTTGTCATCAGCAATTAACAACTTGCTGTGGACATAGATAAGCTCCGTGACAAGGTTTCCTTCAAGCTCTGCATGTGTTCTGAGACCACAGAATGATATGTAATTTATCCACTGATTACCAACTGTAAATTAATAAAGAAATTACTAAAATTAATATGGCTGAGCTCAATAAAGGCACATTAAATTTTGTTTGTTCAAAACAAATATACTGCTTAAACAGGCTATTCAGAATAAATTGCATATTATAGATATACATTTTTAATTTCAGAATTTACCCAGGATATATTTTTGCTAGCCAAATTTTATATTGTTAATCTGGATGGCTATACATTTTTTAAAAAAATCACATTAAAGTGCTTTGTATCTTCTCTTTGCCGAGGAAATCTCAAAAGGTATTCAAATATGAGCATGTTATTTTAATGATTTGGTGAGTAACTGCAGAGTGAGGGGTAAAGCTCAGCCAGAATGGATAAACGAAGACTTCAGTGTGATACTTGCTTTTATCTTAGTTGACACCTGCTCAGGTTTCATTCAGATGCAAGGTGTGTGCCAAAGCCACCTGATGCATACATAATTTGTAGCACATTCAGTCCTAAGCAGCAATAAATTGTACAGCTTTGGGTAAATAAAAATGTTGGCAATTAAAAACCCCTCTTCCTTCTAGATTATTAAAATTAGGAAATGAAAAAATCCTTACTACATTTGACTTGGGAGAATTGTATTCAGAGCGAAGCAGCACCAGGTTTGTACTTTAAAATATTGCCTTCTCATCTCATCATGTGAAGGCCATTCATATGATGAGAAGAAATGCATTCCATACCAAGCCAATCCAAAATCATTTCCCTGGTGTGAGTGTTAGATTTTTATGGTCCCATACCCACACAGCAGTTGTCCCAGACAAGCAAAGTCTGATACTAAGAATAAATGGAGTGGAACCAAACCATCACAAATTCTAATGGAAAGAGTATATATCTTTTTTTTTTTCTTTAAGATAATTTGAAGCATACTAATAGAAGCAATGGTATTTCATGTTCCATTTACTGAAGTTTCCATTTATTACCGATGTTTTCTATTTTGCTATTGATGTTATTCAGTGTTTCTATTAAGTTTGGATATCTTGGAAAGAAATTTGTTCATAGGTTATATAAAGAGATTCCTCCTTTTAAACTCTTCCCTTATATAGATTAGTGATCTTATATAGTTCTATTTAACCAGAGTTGATATGCTGGTGTACTAAAGCACCATGTGTAAGAGATGCACTTCTAAAATGTTTCATGTAAGTGAGATTTTTGCAATAAACTTCTTCCCCCATTTGTTAATGTTACATTGGAAAGATGCTTCATCTAAAGCAGCACCTCCTTTTAAAAATCTTTTCTGGTCCATTCCCTCTTTTAAGCCTCTCAAGTGCATATAATTCCTGGAAAATATTTCTAATGTAATGCCTAATATTTTACAAATATTTATGTAATTCTCAATTTCTCCTACTGTTGTACAGAAACTGTGTCTTACACATCTTGGTATACTCATCCTTGCATAATGCTAAAAAAAGTTGAATAAATGAGTGAATGGATCAATGGACAACTATTTAAGTAGCAGATAATATTTTAGCTTTTAGTTTCTTCATATCATCTACTTTCCTACAGCTGGCTCTTGATCTAGAATCTATAATTTTAAGACACAAAGCAGCTTTTTAAAGGAATCATGGAGCAAACCCTGTACTAACATAAACAGGCTCTGCAGTAATTTCCCACTAAAAATTCACACTGAATATAGTAGACCACTGGTTCTCAGTGTGCATAAGGACCACCTCTACGGGACTTGTTAAAAGCAGATTCCTATGACCCCTCCCAGAATTCTGATTTAGCAGAAATCAATTTGATAAATACCTTAGAGGATATTGTTTTTGAATGACACTGCCAAAGACCTTTGGTATTTGTAGATTTAAGATTAGTAATATACATTAAGAAAACTAATGTATCATGATCAAGTGGATGCATTCCAGGGGTGCAAGTCTACTCAATATGAGGAAATATATTATAAGACATCATATTGATCAATCTAAGGAGAAACATCATATGATTATCTCAACAGATGCTAAAAAGCTTTTGACACAATTTAGTATCCATTCCTGATAAAAGCAATAAAGAAACTAGGAAATGATGAATACATGCTTAAAATATATAATACATGTTTTATATATGTGTATAATATAACTATATGTGTGTGTATGTATTTAATATCTTCAATACTATTTTATATTGCCTTGGAGGTATCAACCAATACTGTTAGACAAGAGAAATTATATAAGTGAAACCACCTCCATTTGTAAATATTATGATAGTATAACCTAGAGAATCAATGATAAAATTATATCAAACAATACAAGAATTAAGTACAGTAACAGGATATAAATTAACATTTATAGCCTTCATACACACAAATAACCACTTAGAGAATATAAACACAGACAAAGCCCCATTTACAATGGCAACTAAGAAGATAAAATGCTTAAACTTAATAGCATATGTGCAAAACTTTTATAAAGAAACATTTAAAACACTATCAAGATACAAGAATAGACTTGAACAAATGGAAAGAAATCTCTTGTTCTGGGATAGGACAATTCAACATTAAAAAGATGTCAACTCTTCCCAGGTTAATTTATAAATTTAATGTGATCTCAGTAAAAATACCAACAAGGTTTTATAGAGTTATACTCCATAGTGATATTATAGTTCATATGGAAAAGTAAACATGCAAGAATAACTAGGAAGGGGAAAGTTATAAGGGGGCATTAGCCATATCAGATATTAATACATACTATAAAGTCTGTAAAATGAGAGCAGTGCAGATATGGCACATATATAGACAAATAAACCAGAGAATGGAATAGAAAGTCCAAAAAGGGACTCAAGTGCATGTAGAAATTTTGTATATGATAAAGACAGCATCTGAAATGGCTAGGACAAGGACTTTTAAATAAAATGTGCTGGTACAATTGCATCGACACTTGAAAAAGACAAAACTCCAAGAGCTTTATCAATAACAAACTCCAAATGAATCAGAGATAAAAATGCATACATATGACATCAGACAAATGTTGGAAGGAAATAATGTGAATTTCTGTGTATCCTAAATGTAGGGAAGACTTTGTAACTATCCAGAAGCAACAATAGAAAAGATTGATAATATTGGCTAGATTGAAACAAAAACAATTTGTTTGCATGACACAAAACACTGTAAACAAAAGCAAAAGGCAAGAGACAAACTGGCTGAAAGTATTTGCAGTATATATCACAGTTAAAAAGGTAAGAGTCCTAACATATAAAGAAATCAATAATTGAAGGGAAAAAGAGATAAATAGCTTGATAGAAAAATGGGCAAAAGACATAAACAGACAATTCACACACACAAAAGATACATTTGAAAAGATATTCATCCTTGTAATAATAAAATACAAATTAAAACTACACTGAGAAACGACTTCTTACCTATGAGACTAGCAAAATAGTAAATATAAACAGTAGAACAACGTACCCTGTTAGTGAGATTGTGAAGTAAGCTTTCTCATAAATTGGTGATGAAAATGTAAATTGGTACAAATTATTTAGATGGTCAGTTGGCAAAACCTAACAAAGCTCCCTATGTGTTTACCTCTTAACTCAGCAATCCCATTCTATAAATTTATCCTAAATATACAACTCCACCTCCTTGATACGAAGCAGGATATTTATATAGACTCAACATGTTTTCCAGCAAAATACTTATTAATTACAAAGGGAAAATAGAAGCTTTACAGTGAGGAACTCTAGCAGACATCACCTTTGCCAAGTAAATCAAAGTTAATATAACCAGTAATATTAACAAATCAACATTATATTCCTCCTGATATGATGTACTAAGAAGAACACAACATCACTTTTTTGATATTCCTGCCCAAAATACATAACCTGAATCTATTCAGTTACTCTGTAGAATATACTTCAATTTGGGTGTGTCCAATTGAGACAGAGTAGTCAGAGGGCCTCTCAGTCCATACCTACTTCCCACTCATCCTTGGCTATGCAGTAACTCTTATGAAGTGATACCATCTTTATTTCTTTGTGAAAAAATGGCCCTGGGAAGAAAACTAACAGTTAGTACCAATAACAGATGTGAAAGAAAGATGATAACAGTTCCTAGCCAGAAAGTGAACATTTTGGATGAATTCACAAGTGTGGTATGTCAAATGCAATTCGGATACCCATTTATGACATGAAAGAATCCACCATGTGCTTTACAAGGAAAGAAGAAAAAGCAAATTAAGAAAATATTATATTTTGGCCAGTACTTTATTCTGTGAAGAAAACTAGCTCAACATGTAATTGGTACAAAGTTGGTGATGTGAATTTATGTTGAGGATATTCTGGGGAAACGAGTGCCTTTTGCAGAAAGTGTGAGAAAGCCAGGAGCATATACAAGCATTAATATAAAGCAATAGATGAGTAAATAGCAGAGAGAGTTCCAATGTCATGGAGTTATCTTGAGAATCTGGAGATTTACTCGGGTCCCAGGACATATCTGTTGTGAGACTGGTGTATGTGTACCTCAGAAGAAGAGAAATTCAATACAATAGACTCGATGTTAATAAGGAGATTTTGTGGAAGGACATTCAAGAGTTTTTACAGTTGTTACTTGGAAACTTTTAACACTTGGTGTAGGTACATTCCTAATCCTGATTAAAGACCTCTGGCCCTTATCTTAAATTATACTAAATTGGTTGCTAAAGTGCTATAATTCACAAAAATTATAAAAACAATAAAGAAATGCTTTAATCATGAAATCTCTGACAACTGGAGCATCAGATAATTATACATTAATAGCTGCTGTCTTTCTTTTCAGGAATTTTAACATATTCATAGCAGTAGTTTTGTTATTATAAATAATTAAAACAGTAGAGCACTATATTTTTCTATCCAATTAGAGATTAGTTAGTTCATGTATTTAAAATCCACTACATATACAAAAACAAAACAATACAACCTTGTACTTCAGAAAAGGGCATTATGTCATTAATCTGTTTTGACCATGTTTAGAATGTGAACATTTTCCCCACTGAGATGCCTTATTTTGACTTGTTCCC